TAGATACATCACCTTTGGGTTGGAGATGGGTGTTCGGGAACCCATTAGATTTAGGAACCCCCGGGCAACAAACTGGGAACTCTATAGAGAGGAACTTGCTTGGCGCCTAGGGGGCTTACCAAGGAAACACCGCACAATGGAGGAGATTGACGAGGCCGCCGACCGAGTCAGCTCCGCTATGATGCGGGCGTTCGAGAATAGTTGCCCTGAGACAGAGGAGCATAGGGCGGGAAGGACTCCTTGGTGGAGCTCTTCCCTGGAGCGTCTCAGGAGGAAAGTGCGGAAGCTGTTCAATACAGCGAGGAGCAGCAGCCAAGGTGCGGACTGGGATCTCTATAGGGAGGTCCGCAGACAGTACAAAAAAGAACTACGGGCATCACAGAGGAGGGCCTGGAGGGGCTACTGCGACGGAGTAATGAATACCCCGGACGCGGCTAGGCTCCTTAGGGTACTCAGAAGTGACCCTGCGGGAAGACTGGGGGTGGTCCGCAGGACCGGCGGTGGCTACACAGCGGGACCAGCGGACACACTACAACAGCTGCTGAACACGCACTTCCCAGGGTCCGCTGATCCGGACACAGGGGGGAATATTGAAGCCGGGGGTCGTCTTGGAGGCGACTACGCCACGGCAAGGAGGGTGGTTACCCATAGTAGGCTGAGGTGGGCTATTGACAGCTTTGGCCCCTTCAAGTCGGCGGGCGGGGATGGAGTTTTTCCGGCTCTGCTGCAAAGGGACGGAGGTCTCCTGACCAGCCCGCTGATGGACCTGTTCAGGGCCTCCATTGCGAGGGGGTACGTGCCCGAGCTGTGGAGACACAGCAGGGTAGTGTTCATTCCCAAGGTAGGGAAGAGTGACTACAGAGACCCGAAGTCGTACCGGCCTGTTTGCCTCACCAGCTTCATTATGAAGACTCTGGAGAGGCTGGTGGACCGGTATCTGAGGGACTGGGTGGAGCTGGAGGCCCCTTTAGAGCCAGCTCAGCATGCGTACCGAAGTGGCGGGTCTGTGGGCTCAGCTCTTCACCATCTGACTTCCAGGTTGGAGGAGGGTATGGGCTCGGGACGGCTGTCGGTGTGCGTGTTCGCTGACATCGAAGGGGCTTTCAATAACACGGCCCTGTACTCGATCTGCAGGGCGGTGGAGAGTACTGGAGTGGGGACGGCCATTGTAAGGTGGATTCGCTCCATGCTAACCGACAGGAGGGTCGAGGCAAGACTGGGTGGGGAGCAGGTCTCCATCGGTTCATCACGGGGTTGTCCACAGGGCGGGGTCTTGTCCCCGTTCCTGTGGTGCCTGGTGGTGAACGAGATATTGCATATTCTGAGGGAAGAACACGGGGTCTATGCTCAGGCATATGTAGACGACCTTGTGATAATGACGCAGGGGACGGACGTGAGGATGATGCAGGGGCTCCTGAACGGGGCATTGGCAAGATTCTCACAATGGTGCCTGGACAGCAAGTTGGCTGTCAATCCTAGCAAGGTGGAGATGGTAATCTTCACTAGGAAAAGGAAGATGGAGTGCAACCTCAACATTTCGATGGATGGGGTGCCTCTTTCTGCAAGCGGAAGTGTCAAGTACTTGGGCGTATGGTTGGACTCTAAGTTGACCTTCCAGGAACATATAAGATCAAGGACCAGGTCGGCCTTTGGAGCTCTGTGGGCGTGCCGGAGAGCGGTAGGGGCACTTGGGGCCTGGGGCCGAAGATCATGCAGTGGATCTACGGTACCATGGTGGTGCCTATGCTCACGCATGGGGCAGTGGCATGGTGGCCGGGGACCAAAAGAGCGGGAGCAAGGCTAGTTCTTGACAGACTGCAGAGATTGGCTTGCCTCTGCATAACGGGCGCCATGAGAACGGCGCCCACGAGGGCCCTGGAGGCTCTGGTGGGGCTGCCCTCTCTGGCGGATCGGGTGCAGATGGAGGCGGCCAGGACAGCTGTGAGGCTGGCGAGCTGCGGGCTCTGGAGGGAGGGAACCCTCAATCGGGGTCCGTACGACATTTTAGAGGGCTGTCGCGGGGATCGCGGGGTCATGGGCATGCCGAGTGACGTCATGATCCCCGAGATGACCTTCTTTGATAAATTGACCTTTCTCTTTCCATCAAGGGAAGATTGGAGAGAGGGCAGAGTCGGCTCCTGGGATGGACTTGTCTGGTACACGGACGGGTCCAGAATTGGGAGATCTGGCCGGAGCTGGAGCGTACTGCGAGACAACGGGATCAAGCTTGTCGGTCCCTCTGGGTCAGTACTGCACTGTGTTTCAGGCGAAAATTTTCGCTTTATTGATGGCGGCCAGAGAGGTGCTTCGGCTCAACTACGGAAGCAGGAGAGTCTTCTTCTGCTCGGATAGTAGGGCTGCACTCATGGCGCTGAAGTCAGTGCGTACGCGCTCCTTGTTGATAAAGGAGTGCAAAGGGGTACTGAGGAGGGTGGCTGAGGAGAGAAAGGTCACGTTGGTCTGGGTTCCGGGTCACACCGGTGTCCGGGGCAATGAGGCAGCGGACGCCTTAGCCAGGGAGGGCTCCTCGCATAGGCATATAGGGCCAGAGCCCCGCTTGGGGATCGCCCCGTGTGTGAGGCGGGGAGCTCTCGAAGCCTGGGCGAGAGACCGGGCCGCGGGGGGCTGGAGAGTTGCTCCAGGAATGAGGCAGGCGAGGCTTATGATGGATGGGCCCGCCCTTCCTCGGACCAGGGAGCTGCTTAGACTGACCAGGAGGGAGTGTAGAGCACTAACAGGGGCCTACACAGGACATTGCAGGCTTAGGAGGCATCTCTGCTTGCTAAGCATTGGAGACGACCCGGAGTGTAGGTGGTGCATGGAAGGGGAGGAGACCCCGTATCATCTGCTCACCGAGTGCCCTGCCTTGACATGGGCAAGATTGGGAGTCTTCGGAACGGCCCTGATCGATCCGGACTCAGTGCACGGTATTGGGCTAAAGGAGTTGCTGACCTTCTACAGGAGGGGCGGCATTCTGGACGCCCTCTAGAGCGGCCTGGGGGCACAACGGGCCCATCTGGTGGCCTAAGTGCTTGGACGCCCGCGAGGGCGCCCCCCTTTAATACCAATACCAATACCAATACCAATGTTCGTTTTGTTGTGGATCATCTTTTTTGCAATATTAGTGTATTTGCGTGGTGGGGTTTATACTTTGTAAATAATGTTGTAATTCTGATTAAATGTAGTTGGTGTTCTCCTGCTCTATAATTGGGTTTGATCCTGTTAAGCAGTGTATGTAAATAAATTAATAATGTACATGCTCAGATTATTTTGAATACATAAAACCAAATATGCCTGGCTTTATTGTAAACCAACCTTAATTTTGATATGTCATTGTCCAGCTTGACGTGTTTGTTGTATTCCTCTTTTCCAATTATGCCATCATATTTAATTCAATAAATGAATATTGGCTAATTAAAATTTATTCAAACTCAGCACATGAGTTAATCAAGGTACCGGCATTTTTAAAAAGTTATATTAGAACTTTGAATAAAAATGTACAAGGGTGCCAAAAGTTGGGCTTTACTCTATCGTTGACTAGCCCTGCATATTGTGATTCATAAAGATTCTCTAAACTGGAGGTACCAAACACCAAAATATTATGATTGAGCTCAACATGAATTGAATGTTTTAATTTTATTCTGAATTTTTTGTGTGGTCATAAAAAAAATGGCAGTTTTTTTTTGACATGACAATTACGATTTTCGAACTTGTTTAGGTGTTGCTTCTAGAGTGCGATATTTTCAGCATACTATTTACATAAATCGAATCTTTTTTTTATCTGTCGAGTTCTAGTTGAAATATGATGAAAATTTGAAAGCATTTTCGGACTTATTTTTCCTGATTTTATTCATAAATAATTAAAAGATGAAAAGGTACGGAGAACGTTTGGATTCAGAATGTTCTTTACGAGAGGCTTATGTCAGAAATTCTAACTTTTTTTCAGAATTTCTGAGTTATTCCTAAACAAATTTCCTATTTAAATTTAAACCTATATTTTCTGTTGGTGGCCTTTCAGCGCGTTCGTAGAAGATTATTGTTTAATTTTTTCGGTTTGTAAACATGCTGTGTGGATATCTAATGTTAAGCGATACGCAAATGTAGGTAAAGCTATTGTGTGTGTAAAAAGTGGTTGCCTTTCACTGGGCCGCTCATCAGTATCAAATTACATTTTTGCATTTTCGATGTGTATCGTTTGTACATCATTATTTTTATATCGACGACCATATCAATCCGTAACGAATACGCGAGTAGATCTTATCCATCAACGAATCGCTGCACGAACCATTCCGTACTTATAATGATGCCAATGGAGGACACAAAATATCCTTTGTGAGCGATGGAGGAAAATACCGTCAGCGCCGTAAAATAACAGTGCATCAAACTTTCCTTTACGTCGTTTCTGCGTCATCGTCCCACATATTACGAGAAAATTTCATAGACCCAAAGTAACCTGATTTAATTACACGAAGAAATTGATTGACCAAATTGGGAAATGTAATAAAGAGCCGCTGCCGCCCGGGAGACTGGATGTTTCGGAACTCATTATTTTTTCTCCGAAGAGGATTGGGATAGAAATATGATTGGATAGAAACTGGATAGGGATTGAGGTTTAAACTTCGGGAAAAGCTCGAGAAAAACTCCACTTCCGAATTAGTTGTTAAAATTGCGTTTATATTTGACGGTATTCAGTCAATCGAAACATTTTCGGGAATTTTGTAAAGGACCGTGACGTTTGAAATGGTGACAATTTCCAAATTTGCAATGAAGCGAAGTGGAGCACTCGTAATTGTTATTCGACAAGTTAGTTTTAGAGGAAAAAAGATGAGTTATAGAACTCAATTCTTTGTTACAACATTGCCTAAACTCATCGGCAGTATTGTCGAAAAGAATAACGTTAAAAACCCCTTCTGGCATTCATCAATTAGGAACCAAATCTCAAAAACGAATTTTACCACCTTTCCTCTGTATTAATATTAATGACTTGTTTTTTGTTTCAGGGATTTCTAGGAGCACTGGCACGTAATCCGTAAGTAAAATTATCTAGTTAGCTAAGTGGACAATAATATCCTTAAATATCCCAGAACGAATGGTTTTGCAAACTTGTTATCCACCAAAATGAGTTTTTTTATCGGTACACTACTTAACGCAATAACAAAAAATGTAAATCAAACCCAAGAATGGTGAGTTTGAAACACCAAACAGAATTAAGGTGCCAATAAAACAAATGCGTTTTTAATATGTGCCGTATCCAAATCTTGTACACCAGAGAGAATCACGGGTTTGTTTCATATAATGGCAACATTTAAAATGTTCGTAAAAACGATATGAGGATCAAGTTTTCAAAGAATACTATTTACAAATCTTCTGGATTCATTCTGCGACGGTTGTGTATAAGTCAAACTTCCTGACGCTTCGCCAATTATCCTGTTGGCTTCTTTACAGCTTAACTGAATCTGGCTCGCATTTTACTCTGTACCTGCTTATATATTGTTTGTAGTAAAGAAGGGGTATGAACCATACCTCAGATGACTGATTCCCATGCTGGTGAAAGGTAAAGACTTGAGTTGAGATTATTCGATTGCTTATAGATCTAATTTTAATTTTATCGAATAACATTTGATGTACGGTTTTATAATTGTGTTTGGCAACTGCTGAGTTCATTTGTCGCAGTCTTAAGGCTCTTTCATGTTCTTTGAACCTGTTTGATATTTGTCGTTATGAAATAGGGGATATCGTATGCATGGAATGCTGTAAATTCTTGATATCTCAATTATATCTTTGACGGATCGAAGAAGTTGGGAATTTTTTTGGTTTTGACGTTATATTTCTTAAGAACTTTTGATATTTGATCAGTAATGTTTTGAATATAAAGAAGGACAACAGTGACAAATATCGGGTTGTTTTGGGTCTCATTGTCTTTGGGAAGGTTTGGGTGAAGTGTATTTTGTGATCCAATGCTTAATACATCTAATGTGGAAATTATTAGAGAGAGGAGCAGATGTAAGGTGTTTTAATTCTGGATTCAGTAACTCAGGTTGAAATAGTCTTACAATTTTGTTAACAAAATTTTTGGGCAGGATGGATATGTGACAAGTAGAATATGTTCCATTTTTCATTTGAGATGGGAAGGAGAAGCCAACAGGATGATTAGCGAGACGTCAGCAAGTTTGATTTATAAACAACCGCCGCAGGAGAAATCCAAAGGATTTGTAAATGAAATGAAGAAGAATATCTTATAGAATTTTAATGGCCAAAAGTAGATCTCAGCTTTACGCATGCACGAGTACTGGTGGTAAGAGACCTGACAGGACGACTTCATTGAAGAGGACAGCTCCATAACACATTGTCGACAACACCTGGAGGCCATATTTAAACGAGAAGGAAACTCCTATTCATCTTTTAACTAGCTGCGCGCCATTTGCGATAGTCGATTAAGAGTACTAGAGACTTAATTCTGACCGAGAAACTATCCAAACTCCAATCTATAATTCATGGACGGTACAGACGCGTTCTAGGAAAAAATTTGGCGATAAATGAATTTCAATTTCCCCCGTCCCTTTTAAGGTAGAGTTCTCAATTAAAAGTCGCTTTTATCAAACACATCACTAGCTATCCGACTTCCATGGTAATACTCTTATGGGCAAGCCATACTGGCATGACTGGCACTTTATGACAGGACAATAGGGGAAGCCATGGGTCATCAGGACGAGCGACTATACAAAGTCCTAGGAAAAGCCATTCGTAACGTCAGACCAGAGGGTACCCGCCTTCCGAGTTTATTATTAAATGGAAGTTGCGAAACTTATGTTCTGCTGACTAGGCGTTTTTTAGCCAATCACGACCTATCTAGTTGAGACATTTTTAACATTTTTAAATTGCTACTATGCGTTACCTTTAATCTCCACCATAGCCGAAACATACCCGGTCAGTAATTGAGCGTAAAGTGTATACTCCGGCAACCCTGCGGACTTTTGTCCTTCCATCCAACTAGGATTAGATTGATTAAATTGTCGAACAGATTTTAAGGTTTCTTCAATAAATTTGTTATGTTTGGCTTTTGTACTTATAGTGTTCTGTTTGTTGAACAGAAATTTTGGTCCACAAAAACTGGCATGAACTTCGTAACGGTTCAGATTATGGTAAAATAGGTTAGAAAAATTTTCTCTATCAATTATTTTGTAAGAACAAACAAAAAATGTTCGTGATATGAAAAATTTAGTCTTGTTCTAGTGGTGGTGGTTCTATAGGTAAGCTGAAATTTATATATTGATTCTAGTTTGCTTAGGTGACTAATGGATGACACAATTTGAGTATCCCAGTGAAACGGAAGTAGAGAATGTAAAGAATGTAAATTTCGCAAGCAAATTCCTTATTAAATCCAAAAAGCCGTAAAATAAATATTGCAAATTTCCCTAATATGAAACCAAGTACTTATTAACCCAATGCATCGGAATCCATTCCAAAGGGTATATTTTTAATGCCCCCTTCCCAGGAAAACAAATACCGGGAAGAGGCGTAATGGTGATAAGTGTTATATTTCTTTAAAGGAAATCGACGAACTTTGAAAACACTCCGCTTTGAAGGATTTTTTTATGGCGCCGGTAGAGCAGACTTTCTCATTCCGCGCAGACCCTCGGATAGGAATATTATGTTTCGAGATAAAATGTTAATGCGTCGTTGAAACATTATAATGTAGCGGCGCCATAAAAAAATGACGTTTACGCGGAACGTAAATGGAACGCAACTTGCTGATCTCAAGGGGTAAAAGTGACGCAGCCCAAAAATTTGTAATAACAGCAACTCGTTGCGGATATCGAACTAAAACCAACCAGACGACCAGTCAGAAAATTTACCGCATTGGTTTTAGACGGAATTAGTGTATAGTAAGTGAGGATGTAATCGTCTTTTAATTCTCAACTTTGTTCTTGTTCTTCGTTCTTTAGAAAGTTCTATAACTTTGAAATTCCAACAATATTTTTGACGAAGATATGAAAAATCTATTCATGTTTTCTTAAGTACTCAAATAAATACTTAAACTGTTGTGTCAACGTGATAGACCGATATAGTTTATCTTAGAACTGTTACAGAAAAAGCTGTAAACATTAATTTTTCAAAGAAACTTCCACAGGCTACTGTGATGCTTTTTACAAAACTTCTGGATTCCTCCTGCGTCGGTTTTTGCTTAGTCGAAATTGCTGACGTTTCGCCAATCATCCTGAAGAAGCCAACAGGATGATTGGCGAAACGTCAGCAATTTCGACTAAGCAAAAAACCGACGCAGGAGGAATCCAGAAGTTTTATAAAAAGCAGCTGTCAACATTGCTTATGTGCCTCCACCAAAAATATCTATAGGTGTGGCAGCTATTGTACCTGGCCAGCGACCTGGAGGAACAACAACGTTTTGTTGGAATCAGTGCCTGTTCATTCTATGTAGAGTTTGTCTCTACGATAGTAAGGGCCGAGCCTACGGCATTTTTTTGTTTAATATGAAGAAGTGTTTTTCATTGCAGCATTACAACTTGCGCTTTACTCGAGGTATACTTAATGGCTTTTATAATTTATCTTTTTTTCTAAAAATATAGTATAATTTCTATTCTGTCTGTAATGGAGGAGACCATAATTGATGAATTTCTATTTTGGAAACACTTTAATCACAAGTCACATCTAGAAATTACCTCGCCTATCTAGATGTGCTAACCAAAACTGTTCAGTTTCAAAAACAGTTTGAAGAAAAGCAAAAGTAACAAATCACTAGCGAATGTTTTGAATCTTCGCGATTCCATTTGTAGACAGTAAATAAGGAGTGGTAATGCGTGATTATTAATATTTCAAATTCCAGTTGAATTTAATAAAAATGTATTAAACTGTCGATCACTTTGCGGTAATTAAAATGTGAAATATCTAAAATTTCACAATCTTCACTACCCTCAGGTGGTATATTCCATCACATTAAGAGATCTGGCGTAAGCTTAGATCTGGATTACAAATTCCAGAGCCTTTGCGTTGCGAGCCGCTCCCTCCATAATAGCTTGATCTCTGTGATTGAACTTCAGAGCTTTGATGCCGACACTCTCCCAATAGCTTTTGCACAGTGTAAGTCGCAGGTTTATATATCGGTATTGACCGTGTGATGGGCTCAGTATTCCGTCACCACATGTCACCACGTTTTTGGCATGATATTCCGATATATGTCTGTAGTAATTCATGTTAATCCAGGCCAGATACAGAACGGCGTGTTATTAAAAGTAGTAGGCTTTGTGCAATTCAGACAAAAACTTGGTTTGCTTACTTGGTTGGTAGGTTTGATTCTATGTATTCACGAATAATGAGTTCATTACGTTTAGTCTGTTAAGAATATATTTTTAATATTATATTTCTAAGCCTAAGGCTAATCGTAAACGTATCAACCACGTTTATGCTATATTATGTAATAAGTGGTGTAAATGTAGCTAGTGATTAATAAACAAATGACTTATAAATTTACCAAACGTGTTGCATACTATACTTTTTCTACGGCCGTTAGTTCTTGGGTATATTTTTGCAAAACTACACGAATGTTTAATAAACGAGTGAGTTAAAAAGTTTACCGAACGTGTTGCATATTATACTTTTGCTAGGACCGTTAAATTTTGGGTAAATTTTCGCAAAACAACAAGAATACATTCACTGACATGACCGTCAGAATTGACAAACCTTCAAAATTCAAAGCGAAACAAAACTGATGTGCTAAAGTGACGTTTCCCGCACGCTAGATCGGTGTATTGTTAGGTATTTTACAGACGGGAGTAGAAAAATTATTTTATCATAATTGACTTTATTGCAATGTAAAGTTACAAGAGCCGAAGTTGAAATTCAGCTTTCTAGTTAAATCTATTTTCTTAATCAAACCTAATGTATACGTATACAGAGAAAATAAGCGATTTGATTTACCTGACGATTTTATTTTAGAAATTGTAGTATATGGAGAAATTAAGCAAATCGGTTTTGCGAAAATACTTAGACTGTATTACCGCATAAAGGAATCTC